CCCCACCGACACCCGCGGGCAATAAACGGGCACCGCCGCAGCCCTGCCTTGCGCCCCGCGGGGCTTCTCCGGCGTCTCGTATAGGGCTGGGCCCCTTCCCCCGCCCCCCACCTCTGGGGTTTATCGGCGTGGGGGGGCCGGGGGGCTGCTGCTGTGGGGCCCGGCTGCGGGGGGGCGGCGCTGCCCCCGTCCCACCCCCATGCCCCCCTTCTGCCCCCCCAGTCACCGCCCAGTTTTCCCAGTGTCCCCTGTTCCCTCCCCTGTATCCCTCCTCACCCCGACCCTGTGTTGGCCCCAGTGCCCAAAGTGCCCATCCCAGCACCCACCAGCTGCTCCCAGTGCTCCCAGTGCCCACCAGCTGCTCCCAGTGCTCCCAGTGCCACCCAGAGCTCCCAGTGTCCATCTCAGTACCCACTGCCTGTTCCCAGTGCTCCCAGTGCCCCATGTGCCCATCGCAGTGCCCACACCCTGCTCCCAGTGCTCCCAGTGCCCAATATGCACATCCCAGTGTCCACCCAGTACTCCCAGTGCCCGATATACCCATCCCAGTGACCACCCAGTGCTCCCAGTGCCCCATGTGCTCATTGCAGTGCCCACCCCCTGCTCCCAGTGCTCCCGGTGCCCCCCAGAGCTCCCAGTGTCCATCCCAGTGCCCACTGCCCGCTCCCGGTGCTCCCAGTGCTCCCAGTGCCCCATGTGCCCATCGCATTGCCCAGCCCCCGCTCCTGGTGCTCCCAGTGCCCAGTATACCCATCCCAGTGACCACCCGGTGCTCCCAGTGCCCCACGCACCCACCCCAGAGCCCAGCCATTGCTCTCAGTGCCCACCCAGTGCTGCCAGTGCCCATCCCAGTGGGATAAGCCTATCCCAGTGCCCACCTCTTGCTTCCAGAGCTCCCAGTGCCCCCCCAGATCCCGTTGCCCACTCTGCTCTAGCCAGTTCCCCCAGCACCTCCCCGTGCCCCCATCCCATCCTGTCCCTCCCATCCCTTCCCATCCCATCCCTTCCCATCCCGTCCCGTCCCATCCCGTCCCACCGGAGCAGCCCGGGCACTGCCGTCCCCACGGTCCCTCCCGCGGGCACCGCCACGTCCCGGTTCCTGTCCCCGTCCCCCCGGTCCCGCCCGGTCCCGTCCTGCCGCCGGCGTGGGGCGGCACCCAGCAGAGGGGCCACGTGGGGGGCGCCCGGGGGGCCCTGGGCACGGCGCCGCTGCCACCACCCCCCTGCGCCCCCCTGTGCCCCCCTGCGTCCCCTCTGCCCACCCGTGTCCTTGGTGTCCCAACAGGTGCCCCCCCAGGCACCCTGTGTCCCCAGGGACCCCCGTCACCCCCAGGCTGCCCCCCATGTCCCCAGGCCCCCCAGGCTGCCCCCGACGTCCCCTGGTCACCCCCAGGTTGCCCCCATGTCCCCAGGACACACAACCTGCCCCCCATGTCCCCGGGACCCCCAGGCTGCCCCCCATGTCCCCAGACCCCTCTGCCACCCCCCGGGTCAGCCCCACGTCCCACGAACCCTTATGGGGCCGCTCCGTCCCCTTGGTGGCCCTGAACCACCCCTGGGGCCACCCATGTCCCCCTGCCCCCCCCAGGGCCACCCCCAGGGTCACCCCAAAGGTCCCCGACACCCCCTTGTCACCCCCACGAGCACCCAGAGCCGCCGCGCAGGGCAGGACAGCGGGGTCCCCGTGCCCATCGCCGTGGGGTCGCCCTGCCCCATAGCGCCCGTGGCCGCCGGGGGGCCGGGAGGGGGGCGCCGATAACATCTGCGGCGCAACGGGCGCGCGGGCGCAACGGGCGCGCGATGCTATCGGGGCGCGGGTGGCGCAAGGATGCGGTTGGGGGGCCCTATAAGGGCCCTGCGCGCGGGCAGAGCCCCACAGCGCCCAGGTGAGGGTCGGGACCGCGGCGGGGACCGAGGGGGCACCCTGGGGACGGCGGGGGGGACCCGGCCCCAGCAGCTCTGCCCGGGGGGCCTCAGGGTGCCGGGGTGGCTCTGGGTGCCGCGGATGGAGGGGGACGTGGTGGCACCGGGGGGCGCGGGGGTGGCCCTGGGGGGATGTGGGGGACATGGGGGTGGCCCTGGGACCCTGGAGGTGCCCCTCGGGGTGACAGGGGGACCCAGGGGTGACCCAGGGGCTGGAGGGACCCGGGGGTCACCCCGGGGATGGCCAAAGGGACCCGGGGTGGCAGCGGGCGCGGGAGGGACCCGGGGGTCACCGTGGGGTTGGGTGTGGGGCGCGAGGCGACGCAGGGGGCAGCGGAGCCGCGGGGTGACCCGTGGGGCAGCGGCAGGTCCCCACGCGCTGCCCCACGTCCCCAGCGTCCCCAGTGTCCCCAGCGCCGCCGCCGCCACCATGTCCCCCCGGCTGCTGCTCGCGCTGGCCCTGCTGGGCTCCGCCAGCGCCCACCACCTGGGTGAGTGCCCCCCACGCCGCGCCGTGGGGCACCGCGCCGTGGGGCACCGCGCCGTGGGGCGCCCCCCAGGTGGGGGGCCCCCGCGTGACGCCCTGCGCCCCCAGGCGCCGCCGAGGAGGGCGCGCGGTGCCCGCACGAGAGCCAGGTGACGCGCCTGGAGCTGCCCGGCGCCGCCGGCACCGCCGGCACCACGCTGCGCTACGCGGTCGTGCGCTGCTACAAGGGCTTCCACAGCGCCCAGGTGCGCGCCGCCGGGCACGGCCGCGCAAGGGGCACCCGGGAATGGGCACCGCGGGCTGGGAATGGGCACCAGGGGCTGGGAATGGGCACTGTGGGGTTTGGGAATGGGCACGGGCACCGTGGGGTCTGGGAATGGGCATGAGCATTGAGGTCTGGGAATGGGCACTGGGGTCTGGGAATGGGCACGGGC